AGTTTCTTATTTATTCAGGATTCTTCTGTTGTATGTATCTATCCATCTTGTGTTGAGAAAACTCTTCATGAATGAATACATGAACTGCATGGAGCTCAGACCTTGAATGTATCATGTCAGTGGAGCTTTAAATAACAACCAATAGTTGGTTTTGATCAACATTGTAAAAAACAGTAGACAGACTATGAGAGTGAGTTGCAACAGCAGCAGGAAGCTTAGTAGAGGAGTTATGGTTCTGCTCGATGATCAACAGTGATTTGGTCTCCAATTCCTCTTGATACACACTCAGCACACTTAATGAGATTCCCAATTTGATTGGAGATTTTGACTCCCAGCTTATTTTGGTGATGATTAATACCTTAGTGATCCAACAATTTTATTCTTGATGATTTATTGTTGTGTACAACCTCCATAGAGTAGAAGGAACTTTGTAATAATGCTATTTTTATAGTGGATGTTTTTTACTGGACTAGGTCCCCATGTTTTTTCCCCTTAAGGAATTTTCACATTAAAAAATTTAGTGTCTTGATTTTGTAGACGTGATAATTTTTATTCTTGTTGCCTGATTTATTCTTGAGTTTGATTATTTTCCATTTAATTACACACACATAGAAGAATACTAATTAAATGTGGTATTTGGTGAGCTCTTTTAAAACTATGTGTTATGTACGTAGATTAATTTTGGATCTATGAATCCCCAAATACTAACTAAAAAGGCCCACTTTTATCTTTGTGATCCCTATTCAAATTCAAGTTATTAGCTGAACTGGATGGATTCTTTAATGGTAGATCATAATTGGACTTGCATATACTGTTAACTCAAACAAAGACTTAGGATTTGATTCATATACATATTTTTGAATTCAACTGAGTAAAACAGATGGATATTGTTCTTGAAAAAAAGAAAAGTAAATGATTTATTCATATCCACCATAAGTTTGAGAACTTAGTTCAAACCCTAAAGAAATATTATTCAAAAGTTATGAAGGGAATGATCTCTGGTATCTTGTGATTCTGTATAGTTTTATATATAAGAAATGAAATATTAACATTATTAGTACATTTACTTCAGTTGAATACTGAATACTCTACTGCCGGAAAGGTTAGGGATAGTATCTGATATCAATCTAGAGCAACCAGGCTGAATGCTCTTTCATTTTCGATCCTTGCAGCCACGTCTGTTGTGTATGCCTCCTGATGAACAGATGTGATCCATGAACCCACGTGATCCTTGCAGCAGCAAATCAGATTGAATAATTGGTTTGCACATTATAATGTTCTAGCTTTCTTCGCTTAGCATTGATCCTTTCATGGGTTGCACAACAGCATCGCACATTACCTACAAAAATCAGCACAAGAATACCAGCAGAAAAGCTAACTTTTAACAGCCCTAAGTATGAGCTACATTGGAATTAGTCTCTGGTGTACATATATTATGAGTGATAGCTAATATCTGAATTTGATTTTTTTTTTCTGTAAGGGAAAATATGTAAAATGAAGCATTTAGATGACAAGTTAACCCTTGGGACTGTAGTCTTGGCATTCTTGAAATGTTATGACATCCAAGTCTTTGACAAGGTTTAAAACAATCTTTTGTTCTAAAGCAGCATCTATCAGATTAAGAACCACCCATGGATTGGTCTCTATATAAATATACTAAAATGGAAATCAAGGGCTCAAAGGCAATTATGTTCACAAACAAATTCGTATTACTGGTCTTCCAAGTTGGAGAGACATTAATTTATTGCCATATCCATAGAAATGAATGCAAGAAAGGTAAATAAATTAGCACAGATATGACATTTAGTTTAAATTGAAAAGATGCAAAGATTGGGCAGATATAGAAGAACATATAAAGAAATCTCACCACACGGCTCCCACTTATTGAAATTCACCAGCCATGTGATGCTTGAACCATTCTGTGTAGATAATACAGGATCCCCCCAAACCCAAAACATTTTTCCCTGCTTGTCCCCGTACCACCTTTTCAATTCATGTATGCATTCATGTAAAGTTTTCTCAACACCAGATGGATGGACAGTTACAGCAGATGGACCCTGAAGAAAGAAGAACTGAAATGGTGGTTCTTTCTAAACATAGATCATAAAGTATTCCAACAAGGAATCAAAAGCGGAAACAACATTTCTTAGTGGATTCATTAGATAAAGAAAATCAATAAAAGTTGATGCAGAATGTCAATAGGTTCCAGTCAAACTAGATCTAAAATGTAACTTAGTCCTAGTACTGGTTCCAGGTACAGCTACATAAAGTACATTTTGGTCAAGCATTTAAGCTAAAAGTTTTCTTCACTTATCAGTTTATTATTTTAGAATAAATTTGCTTTCCTAATTTTCACACAATAAAAGCTATATACTTCTATCTATACCTATACTCAAGTTAATCCATCAGCCAACACTCCAAACTTACCAAGGACTTTTTATTTCCACCTGGGCATGATATATGGAGCAGCAGAGTAGGGATACATTCTCAACATCATGATGATCAACCTGCAGAAAGAGCACCATGTCCAATTAA